GATGATCTGATTAGTCGACTAATCGCAAAAATAATCGGTGACTAGTCGACTATCAAAATAATCGTTTGTGGCAGCCCTATTTCCAACTAAAGTTTTACGTATTATAGAGTCAGCTAATGCAAAGCAAGCCAGACTGTGTTGAATTTCATTCAATGTATACCCCTCAGAACGGCACTATTATCTCATCGTTGCAGCTCTCCATTTAAAAACCACCACTGAGTCAAAGGTTATTGTTGGTTTTTACAGTAACAGATAATCTGTTAGTATATAAAGTTTTTTTTTTAAACAGTTCACATTTCAGGTGTCAGCAGAGGTGTACAAAAAGCGTAAGAGCAGAACTTCAGAACTTGTAGTCTGTCAGAGAGGACAAAGATCACCTTTATTTCAGCTCTGAGGTACTGCAATTAAGTGGCATTTATACCAGGGTAACCAGAGAGGATAATACGTATTTGAAATATATAATTTAGCCTCATTTCTGCTGTCCAATACAAAGAAATGTAAACTTTAACAAATGATTCCAAATTGCAAAACTCTCAGTTGTGTCTCTAATAAAACCTCTGTAACTTTGCTCTGCTTCACTTGAGCAGCATCAGGTAATGTTCATATGCTGATTCATAGTTTTCTTCCATTTCTGATCTACTGCAGAATATTTTTAAGGCGGTTGTCTGCTATAAAAAGCTAGACCAGCAAAATCTCCTTCATGTTTTTCTGCATTTTATGCTCAGTTACTTCGACACAAATTCATCTGCTGTGATGCTTACTGATGAAGTCTTACAAGTGTCAGCTTTGTTTTTATATATGGATATGTACTGATAAATGATCAGAATTATAATATTTCGAAACCGAATCGAATCAAATCAGGACCTTGTGAATTGGAATCAAATCAGAGAAATCAAAATCGATGCCCAGCAATATTTATTTGTGTCACAGAAACAGTTATATTTTAAATGTCACTTAAAGTTTTGTGGCCACTCTCATCTGCCATTGTTGCTTTTGAGTTTCAAACAAAATACATTCTGGAATAATTGGCTGTACCAAGCACATGCAAGTCCACACCGATGCATCCTTCATAAAATGGGCGGAGAAAGATGTCCGTGCGTTTTGAGCATAGTTGACTTGATACATACGCTGAACTTCAACAGTACTTAAGCTGCGACTGACAACATTTTACAGTTACACAAAAATACACACAAGGACTCGTTTTGAGAAAGAGACAGTGTTAGCTACTGCTAAGCTAGCTAATGCTCTAAACTATCGGCTACAAAATGATGTAGCATAGACCTATAGTATGCTATGTTGGGTGCCTTTTAAAATATCAGCATGTGGTTGTATTTACCTTAATTTAATGAGCCGTCAGTTCCAATAAATACACCACCAGATTGAATGAAATGAAAGTGCAAGGGGGTGTGTGTATGGGAGTTTGACACAACAACTTACAGACTCCAAAAATTAAGATGGCAGCCCCCATAAGTGGGAAATTCTGTCTTTACTCTTGTACAAAGGAAGTGGCACCACGTTATCCATCTCTTACACATTTATTCATACACACACACACACACACACACACAATAAATCCCCCATTAAGTAAGGCTGTTATAGATTAGCAATGGTAACTGAACTACAAAAGCAATAATAATGGAATTATCCTATCCTTCTAAATATGGCTAGAAAATTCTAGCATGCAGCAGTACCTGTGAGGGATGAAGGTAAGGTTCAGGGGAGGCCAGGTTGGTCTGAACAGAGAGGCTTTTCTCCAGGAGGGCCTGAGGGAACCCCAGCCGCTCAAAGGTACTTCGTTTCCAGTGGTGGCCATCGCTCTGTGCTAGTGCCTCGTCCTCACTGAACGCCCTCACCACTGGTCCCGGTAATGGCAGAGGCACTGCTCCGTCGCTCTCATAGCCATCTTTAGAGCTGCCAGCTTGGGAAGCACCACCTCCCTGCCCAGAATCCCAACTGCACCTCTGTTTCATCACCTGCTGAGCCTCCCAAGCAAGTCTGGCCTGAGCCAGCATGGCTTCAGATGCTGTCCCAGTAAGCTCCACCTCCCCATACCGAGTCAGTTCCTGTGGGAGGGATGGCTTGCGGCTTTTGCGTTTGCGGTTGCCAGAGGGAGAGAAAGCCCCAGGCCTGGCTGTAGAAGAAGAAGAGAGGGAATGTGTCTGGCTGGACGTCCAGGATATGGAGTCCTCATAAACTAACCTCTGGCTTCCCTCTCCACCCTCTCCACTGTAGTCCAGCAGGAGGCGGGGGTCTCTGATCAGAGATTGGCTGTGTTGCAGAGTGTAGGACCCCCCATATGAACTTCCATAGCCACCGGTTGTGCCGTAACGCAGAAGACGGTCTGCTGTCTTGAATCGAGGACTGGAAGAAGACTGCTCCACGTACACCAGCTGCTTAACATATTCCTTGCCCACAGGACTGTACTCCAAACTCTGAGTCTTTTCGGGACACTTCTGCCTGGTCAGAACCAGCTGGCCATAGGGTGACTGTCCCTGCTTGGGGGAGTGGTAAAGGGGGACTGAAGATTTTCGAGCAGGTGACTTGCCAGTGCCGTAGAAGGAAGAAGAATCAGAGAGGTGCATGTCAGTGGGAGGCTCTTCATAGATGGGTGGGGGCTGAAAGTCTGTTGGCGGCTCCTCATATAGTGGGGGCTCATAGGTGTAGCGGGGCGAAGGAGGCTGGGAGTCAGCTGAAGTGAGTCGATGGGTGTTTGAGCCACCCAGCTCTGCCCGCTTAAGAAAAGGAGACTGACGGCGGTCGGCATAAAGAACTGGGGAGCTGTCAGGTTCTGAAGAAGGGTTTCCTCCAGAGGGACAGCGAGCTCGTGAGGTGGTGCCCCCTCCAGAAGGAGTGCTAGGGCTGGAGGGGTCACAGGGAGAGTAACCATTTCCCTGATGGGCCAAGAAGCTAGGCTCTCTGTCTGTCACCTTGATCAGCATTCGCTCTTTTGTACCAGTATTCCACCTGAAGGGAGAGGTCCTGATAGAAGAGAGCAGAAAAAAGAGAGGAGAGACATTTTGAAAAAGAAAAGAATAGATGCAGTTAGAGGATATTAAAGTTCATTTTGAAGCTTATCAATTCCTGTTCCAGTTACTCTGTTACAATTAATCTTGTAATTACTAGAAAATACCTCATAATCACATTTATCTGAAAGTGATTGTTATTATAAGGTAATAAAACCAAGATTAACTTGTTCCTAAATGATGGGAAGAGAAAAGCATGCAGAAAGAGAGCAAAAGCTCATGATATGAAGTAATATGCCTGCAACAGAACGGGATCACTACCATTTAATGATGATGTCACTGCTGATAGTAGTAGTAGAATATAATCTGAACTGCGCAGGACTAAACTCTGCTCAGATTTGACCAAATGCGGCAAACGTGATTGGACAGCAGTTTAAAATACCAGTGGGTAATGTCCCAAGGCATACTGCAACCAAAGGGTTTCTCAAAGGAAGTTATATTTCTGTGAGCCAGTCACTCAATCACAACAGAGCATTCGTTTTAGTTACAGAAACAAAAGTAAAGGCAGAAAGACCAAAAGACAAACAGCAACTGGATTCTGAACTTCAGCAAGGTTTGAAAATAATTTTAAAATTAGAGTTTGAGTTCAGGGAACAGACTAGATCAGAGCGTGCATCAGCAGCATCTTTTCAGTATGTGGAAATGCTTAAACATCTACAAAAAAGACACTGGATGGATGGGAGCATATTTTGATCTAAAACCTTCAATACGTACAACCTACCAGTTATATAGGCACTGTCGCAGGCTTTGGAACTGAGAAATGATAACAAGCTGGATGGTCTTTCTCCTCTAAAGCTTAGAGAATGTTGCACACATGCTTTTAAAAAATGATTTCATGAGAATGTTTTTATTTCTCTGGCCACAGAACAGTTTTCCATTTTGTTTCAGTCATTTTGACATGGGTTTTTCACCCATCTTCTTCCCAGAGAAGATGGGTGTTTCTACATCATATTCACATATGGCTTCTTCTTTCCATGATAAAGCTTCAACGTGCAGATAAAAATGATATGGCATAACAGTCTTGTAGATCTGAAGTAAAAAGGTAAAGTACCACTATTGTATGACTTACTGTCATGCTGTTTTAGCTCTTTAGCTGATATTAATCCATATGTTAATGGCTGAACATTACCCTAAGCATTGTTCTAGTGTGCTGTATACCTGTAACTAACTCAGTCTTACCTATCTGCCTCCTCTCTGTTGCCTTGTTTTTCGGACAGCTCCTGGTCAAGGGAGGACGAGGTGCTTCCTTCTCGGCTGACTTCGCTGTTCCGTCCTGGGCTGTTGTCAGCAGATGCTCGCCGCCCGCCACCTGGAGGACGAGTGATGGTGGCATCTGTGTTCTGCTTCAGAGTCTGCAGCTTGGCCAAGGGTATGATGTCACATCCCTGAGGCCGATGCCACACTGTGCGTTGGGTGGAGGCGTTATAGTAGTAGAAGCGTGAAGTATTGGGGTCAAACAGCTCCCACCACTGGTTCTCACCGGTACGCTTGATGCAAACACCCTGTGGTGGGTCCCACACGCACTCACCCGTTAGCAGATTGGCATACATATGCTCCCGTGTCCGTGGCTCAATAATTTCCACCCACTCCAACCTGTAGGGGCAGATTGCAAAATGATAGAATTACAGTGGCTACATACTCCATCTGCCAGCCTAACTAGCTGGTCAACAGAGCCCATCCACACCTCCCTCCTAAAACCCTCAATGTCTAAGGTGCAGATAAACTTGAGAGGCAAATAGCCAAAGACCCCCCCAGAAAGGACCTGCAGACAACCAAGGACCCCAGAGGCGTAAATCGGACATTCTGAAGGAGACTAAGGACAACCCACCCTACATGTTTGAGTGCCAGGGCCACAGATCCATACCCAACCCACGCAGAAGAGGCAAGCCACCCAGCCCAGTGCAAGCACCAATGACTACAAGGATCCCAGACCTAACATCCCAGGACAGCAAGGCAGTAATCACTCATGCTTCCCACCACCACCAATCAAGACAGACACACAGATACCCAGAAACAGCAGCCCCAGCTCTCCAGCTCCCTGAAAAGTTTCCAGAGATCCAAAGACCAACCCTGGCCACCTGTAAGGCACATAGGTAGATGAGACTAAAGCCAAGCTCCTCCTAAAACGGATTCATCCAACTGTTTTTTTTAATTGAGGCAGATATTCTCTCCAGATTAATGTGACCTAGAATTAAATTTGTAGTCAACTAAGGTTAATAACGGAGTTCTACAGGGTTCCATGGTAGGACCAGTTCTGTCTATGCTTCCCCTAGACAGTGTCTTTAGAAAGCATAGCATACATCTTTACTGCTATGCAGATGATACCCAACTTTATCTATCTCTGAAGCCAGATAACACACCCCAATTAGTTAACTTGCAGAAATGTCTTAAAGACATAAAAACTAGTTTATGCATTTATTACCTCTAGGCTGGTCTACTGCAATTCATTATTATCAGGATGTTTCCCCGAACTCCTTGAAAAGCTGATCCAAAATGATGCAGCAGAACGCTGACAGGGACTAGAAAGCGAGAACATATTTCCTTTTATTGGCTCCCTGGTTAAATCCAAAATTGAATTTAAAAACAAAGTACTGCACCACCCCATTAGAGCACGTCACTCTCAGACTGGGAGCTTACTTGTGTTTCCAAGGGTATTTAAAGTGGAATGGGGGTTAAGAGGCTTCAGCCTTGTGCAACCAGTTTGGATTTGGGCAGCAGACATACTTTCTACTTTTAGGATTAGAATTCAAACTTTCCATTTTGATAAAGTATATTGTTAGGGCAGGGTCAGGTGACCTGGAATCCTCAATTAGCTATGCTGCAATAGGCTTCTGGAGGAATCCCATTTTAATGAACTGCATTTAATCATTAGTTCATATTAATATCTGGCTCCTGTCCACAGCATGTCTTTTGTCCTATCTTCCTCCCTTTACTGCCAAACAGTGGTGGCAGATTGCCACCTCTCCCTGAGCCTGGTTCTGCTGGAGGGTTCTTCCTGTTAAAAGAGATTTTTTCCCACTCCCCTCTGTCGCCAAAGCACTTCTTACAGGGGCTCATCTAATTGGTTTTCTCTTTTTTCTCTGTATCATTGTAGGCTCTTTATCTTACAACATAAAACACGTTGAGACAACTGTTATAGTAATTTGGTGCTAAATAAATAAACCTGAACTGAATCTGCTTGCTAAAACTGCCGGACAGGACAGGTTTAAAAAAACTAAATAAAAAATGTTGTCATCCACCCTCTTTTTTGAAAAAATCTTGACCCTTCTCTTCTTTAAAGAATTTAAAGACCAATTTGAAAATTACAGTTTACTGCTAAGATTTGAAACTTACCAGTTTACATCTTATAACTGTTCCAAAGAGACAGCCCTTCTTAGCGTCTGCAGTGACATTTTGCATACTGATGCAGGCAAAGTTTTGTTCTGCCTTGACCTCTGCCTTACTGATACCGTTGAACATTTTGATCAATAGGCTGAGATACTAATGTCTAGTATTGGATGATATCTGTCTCAATGTTTCTTGTCTGTGGCTGTCTCTTCAACTTCTCCTACTATAAAGTTCTGTTTTGGGCCTTTATTGTTTCTGTTATGATTTCTTCCTCTTCAGCACATTTTAAGCACTTTTAAGGAAATCTTAGTGACAATTCTCGCTGCTATGAAGGCGACATTCAGTTGCATATCTCTTTAAAGCCCAAAGATGTTTCCAAGCTGGATATTTTGAAGTACTCAAATACCACAACATCACTAATTCAATTGCACTAGCTCACAATTCAGAATACACATTAATTCTGGCTCTGGTTTTGACTTTTAGACCTGTGGATAAAGAAGCCGTCCATCCAACCAGTGTAATGGTTGGATGGACACCAGAGAACTTTTGATCTACAGCAACTTCCACGCTGTCTTCACAGCTAACAAAGCGTTGTGATGGCACAAGGGAGAGGTGTGTTTCATTCGAATCCAGGTGCCCACTAAAACCCAGCGGCAGCTATTTTCCTGCCTCCACAAGTAACTGCAGAAGACAACAAGGCAAGCATGGCCACCAAAGCAAAGTAAAATTGCACTCTGTACAAAAGCAAAAGTCATCCAGTTCATGCAAAACGAGTCTCTGTCTCTAAGTAGACAGGGACTGCTTTACCATCTACCATGTTTTCTTGTATTTGTTTTTTTTTAAATAAATAGTTCTTTTGTGCACTTTGGGAGGCTAGCATAACAAATTACATGTTCAGAACATCTTCTGACTATGGTCGTGTCCAAATTCATGGGCTGCATCCTCCTGAGGACGCATTTGTACACCGATTACGTCACAGCGACACGCCGAAGGCTGTCCAAATTCGTAGACTCCTCCGAATGCAGCCGACAAATGCGTCCTCCTTTTCCCCGAATTTGAAGGATGCATCGGGTGTGTCCTTTGTGGCCCACCATATCCCAGAATTCATAGCGCGGCCCAGCCAAACTCCAGTTTCCAATAATGGCGGCCGCTACTAAGTTTTAAAATTACTCTTATTAATCTTTCTGGGTCACAAAATAAACTTTTAACATATTTTCAGGTGAGAATGTGGGTGTGTAAACTTCAAATATCTGCTCGGTTTATCAAAATATCGCATATTTCCAAAAGTGTTTCGACGTTTTCAGAGACGTCTGTTACCCACCAGCTCGATAACTAGCCGGGAGCTCGAGGGTCACTAAAGCCGCCGAGAACGGCACAACTCCCGGCACATCATTTTCAGATCACCGCGGACTTTCGCTACTCAGGTTAAACGTAATATATAAGTCACTTAGAAAAACTAAAAATATTATTGTTTGGCTTTTTTCAGTGTTTTTTTTGTTCGTGAGTAAATCGGTTTGGCTGAGATTAAAGTTATTAGATTAGATAAAATAAAACTTTATTAATCCCCCGGGTGGGTTCCTCCTTGGTTTTCACACAGCTGACTAAACGTCAAACAGAAAACTGATTAAACAGAAGTATGAGACAGTCGAAAATTTACGCCAGTGTCCTGTTATATTTTAGATAGCAAGGAGCAGACGGCCGAGTTTATTAAACTCCACCGAGACAGCGGTGACGCAAATCAGAAGGCTAGACCGTCCAATTTCACAGCAGTTTACTTCCGGCCTACCCGACCTTCTGAGGACCCGGCCCACGTAGACCGCGAAGGCCGGGTCCTCAGGAGGATGCAGCCCATGAATTTGGACACGACCTATGCCTGCATTTTATATTATATATGTATATTTAAAAAACCTGCAACAATTTTGTCTTCAAAGCTGATGTATTAGAAGCAGGAAAATTAGGCAAGTGCAAACTGGTGTGAGAATTGTGCAGTGCATATGCATCTGCAAAGCTGCAGACGAGTCAAGGTGCCCACTGCCCAGTATGGTGCTCAGTATGGACATTTTCACTACACAAACTTCCATTTGTAATGTATTGTCATGTCATGTGCTCCAAGTTCAAGATCCTTAGTTCCACAGTTTATCTTTCGTTTGTTTCTTGTTGTACGTATGTACTTTGTTTTAGTTCGTTTTTTCCAGCAGTAAAGCTGACACTTTAAGTTAAATGATCAAAGAACTGACCTCACAGCCCACTGTTCATTCAGTGGGCTAGTCTCAGTTATTGTGCAAATGTACTGCTTGGGAAAAGGTTGGGAAAACCAGCAGTCAGCTGACACTGAAGAAGTCACTTTGATGAGTGACGAAAAGTTTCTCCCACTAAAAAAAGCTATGTCCAGATGAACAGAATCGACTTTTTGGGACACTTTAAGCTAAGTTTACCATCTTTGAGTCTAGCGTTTGGGTCCAAACCCTGCCTGCCACACAGCTCACCTTGACACATTCCTTTGCAGACGATCAGTTAGCTGTTTGACGACTACTCTTTCTAGAATTTTCAGAAGGCCCGGTGGCGCCAGTGTTCGGCAGCCTCGCCTCTGTCAGTGCGCCCCAGGGCAGCTGTGGCTACAATGTAGCTGCCATCACCAGTGTGTGAATGTGTGTGTGAATGGGTGGATGACTGGATGTGTAAAGTGCTTTGGGGTTCTTAGGGACTAGTAAAGCGCTATACAAATACAGGCCATTTACCATCTTCTAAATTAGTGGATGCCATTTCCTCTGCAGTTTGCGAATTATTAATTCTACTTTAAGGTGCACATTTGAGAGTTATACCAAGGAGTCAAGTACTTCTGATTTAAGACTTTCTTTTTCAGAGGAACTACAGTGTCCAGGGTCAGATACCGTGAAGATGTAAAATTATCAAAACGATAATCGACCTTGGATGGAGCAGAGTTCAGGTAACTGCTCCACACAGTTTGTACATGGCATTAAAGATGACAAAAGACGATTAATTATATCTTTAAATTAGTTCTAACACTCAGAAAGACATCTACTGTGGTGAAATCTATTCCCAACTGCTGTGTAATCCATTATTGTAAATTGTAAATTTAACCATACACCCAGATGGAGTTTGAAAGCCTTGTCCATCCTAATTGGAAAACTCAAAAACCCACTGACTTTTTTTCTGATTTAGTACTGTCTTCAGATCAAATAACTATTGTGTGTGATTTTAACATACATATAGATGCTGAAAGTGACAGAATCAACCGAGCATTT